GTTGGGATGGGGCTTTGGGCAACCTCATCTAGTGGAGAGTGTCCCTGCCCATGGCAGGGGGTTGGAACTAGATCGTGTTTAGGGTCCCTTCCAACCCAAACTGTTCTCTGATTCTATGGGACAGAGTCACAGACATGACAACAAGACTCCAGAGGCATATGTCCTGCATGCAGGATTACAACAGGATGTACAAAAGGCTGTATCTATCTTGTACTGGACAGTACAAGCATTCCTGTCCAGTTTCCTGGCCATAGAGGACCTCGTATCTCACTTTATTGCTACAATAGGTCACCTGACTGCAAAATGTGTGCTTGGGTAGTACAAGCAATGTGACTTGAAAGTCACACAAAGACTATGGGTATGTGTTATAAGTAATTGTCCTGTATCTGAAAAGTCACCAAGAGAAATGGTGGCCACATGAGCTTTGGACTGGACCATCTGATGTGTCATACACAGGCCACATACGTGGTACTATACCACTTTATTGACCTACAATTAGACAAGTGATTAGGAGGTGAAAATCTGTTGTATATTTCTGTAAAATAGTTAGTAAATTAAACAGCATTACGGCAAGTACCTGCTACCTTATAATTTCAATGTTCATGTCTTCTGCATGTACTTTGCTTTAACCTTGGCTGTAGGCCTAATAAAAGAAGCCCCATATGCTTTGACAGTGTGACAAAATCGATGTCTTGCTGTGTACTAAGCTTACTGAGCTGTATTACAACGACTGGTCAGAAAAATGCCAACCAGTGCAACTCATACAAAAGAGAGCAACTTTGAGCCCAGAACACCCAAGAGTGTGTGCCTACAAGTGACCGCGTGCATGCAGCCTGGCTTGTTCCTAACCCAAAAAATCCTGTAAGCCAAGAAAACAAACTTAATTCTTTTCCCTGTACGGGAGTTTGTTTAACACAAGCACTTGCTTCAGACATCTGACTAGGAAAAGAGTTCCAAAATGTTATTTTTCTTCAATAAAGTCCTTACGTATTGAATAGGCTTGAGGGATTTGATTGTAGCAGTTGGGCAGCCACAGGAACGGAGGTCAACATAGAGGCCTTCTTCCAGCACACAGTGATTGTCAGTGATTTCCCCTTGGTAATACAGGAGCCAACTGCAAGAATAATGTAAGAAAAAAGATTAGCTGCTCTAACTGCTTATTAACAGGAAGTAGGGTGTTTTTTTCCAAGATTTAATATTTACTAAGGAAATAAGGAATAAAAAATTTGTTTGTTCTTGTTAAGCTTAGAAGTACGGTGACTTGAAAGGCTATGTGACAAACCAACCAAAGCAGCAAAATCAAATCATGTGGTACAGAAATCTCAGTTCCAGAGTCAAACGACGAGTGGAATGCAGACACTTCTACTGTACTAAGTTCTCAAAATCTGGAATAAATTGTAACTGGAGTTAAAAAAACCAAATAAATAAAATCACAGTAACTGTGCAAACTTCCCACAGGGAAAGCAAAATGCGTACTACCCAAACCAGTGACAGGACGACAGTTACTAAGATGCATTGCAAGACAAAGGGTCTAAGACACAATGGAACATGATGGGCATGTGTTATGCACTTTCAGCTGTCTGAAATTCAGTAGCATTAAAAAAAAATAAAATCTTATTACTTAAAATGGTAGCATGTAAAACAACAGACTTACCATCCCCGAAGAACCTTAAAAGAACATGGTATGAATGATGTAAAATCAGAAACTTCTGCTGTGAAATCTATACATGCTCCTTGGAAATGTGTATTACTGAAAGCTTTGAGCTACAAGAACAAAACAAAATAAAACCAATGACTAGAAGGAAAATGAATTCATTATCATTAATGTAAGCAGAGATAGCTGTGGTCTTAGAGAAGTATCCATTCAATTCACAAAGATACAAGAGAATTAATTCTCATTGAAGGGATCTTTTACATTTCTACAGCTGCTTTATTTTTAGAAAGATTTAGTGTTTTATTGTCTCTGGGACCGGTACAGGATGCTTCCTGGTGATGCAAAGCATTGGTATCGAGCATAAGTTTAGCTGCAGCAGGAGAGGGCCCAGAGAAAAAGAGAAGGCTTGGACTGAAGGATGTTATCTTCCATCCAAAGTACTCCTGAACTGCAGGTACCTATTACTCCATACAGCTCGGCAATCCAGTGTTCAAAACAGGACGGGGAAGCATCGGTCAAAAGATATAGGGCTACTATTGACGAAGTGCCTTGAAATCTTCTGTGACCACAGTGATCGCAGGTAGTTTCTCATTTAAGAACTAGCAGGAGAGTTTCTGGGGCAACTTGGTACAGCCTGGTAGATGCACCATGAACTTCTGAAGTTCACCTAAGCTGTTTTTACATGTCATGGTGAAGAATTTCAAACCACATTGAACCATACCCACCACTAAGATGGGATTCGTTCATCCTGAAAAAACAATAAGGTTGAAACTGTTGCAGTAAAAGAAAAAAAAAAAGAAAAAAGGGGAAAAAAAAGCAGTATGATATAGCCTATGATCTATAGCAGTCGCCTGTAATTCTGTACCCTTGGGCTGCCACTGTGTAACCAAGGTGAATTTCACTTTAAAGTCTGAAAGAGAGGCTGGAAAAGAATGAAAAATTTAACTGTATCAAGAGAACAGCTCATATTCTGTAATGGAAGAAAACCATGATGGCTGTTGCAAGAGCTACTTCCCCCTTCATGCCCCAAATTGGCCTAGCTTACTGCCAAAGAAAAGAAATCAAATGCTTTTGCCAGTACAGAGCGAGAAGGCCAAACACAAGTATCAGCAAATGATTTTATGGAAAAGCTCAGTCTATATTTTTAAAAGAAATTAGTATCTTTCCTGTTAGAAAAAATAAGAAAGGCTTAACCTGGCCTTGCATGCTGTAACTGCAAATTGGAGAACACAAATCGGCTACAATATAACGAATAAAGTGTATCTGATTTTTCTGGAAATATAATTGCACTATGTCACAAAGCATCTATTTAAGCTGTAATTACATAGTATTTTCTACCCACTCATCTCAAAGCTCTTTATAAAGTAATATATATATATGCACTGTCTTTCTTTCATAGGCCAGATGCTATGCAAGGCTTTTAAAAAAAACACTTTTAACTCATTTTTATACAGAATATATCCAATAATGAATGATAGTCTTAATTTGACAAAAGCTGGAGTGAAGCACTGATTCCTCAGTGAAAACATTGCATATCTGCAATTCGTCTCAAATGGCAGCTCTCTACTTTGTCAGGGTTTGGCATTACTATACGAGGTTTCGCTTCCTAAAAAGTCAATGGACAGCATGACAAAATACAAATGTAAGTTATCACAGCAATTTATCTCTGCTTCCTAAATCATCTGTACAAGACAGCTGCTATTGAAAGAGGCTTTGTTCTTGCTGGGCAAAACCAAGTTTTATTTTTAATAAATAAAATGAATGGCTTTTTAGAGTTGGTGATTTCAGGCATTCATACATTATATGTACTTTATTAGGGTGCCTGTCAGGAGGAAAAGGTATGAGGAGTTAGTGAGAGATTTAATAAAATCTAGTTGCTTTTCAATTTCTCATGAGCAACTAAAAACAGAAGTGAAAAAAAGACACACTCTTGTAGACAGTGAAAACAGTTCCCTTAACTCAGACAGATGTTTATTAAAGGTGGGAGAATGTATAATCATTCAAAATAACCAGTATAAGGGTCAAACACTAGGATGCTTAAGGATTTGCCAGCTCACATGCACCATGCTTTAAAGTTCCAAACTGAGACTGTTGCACACACATGGAAACTTTTATTTTACTTTGAATGGGAATTTTTTTAGTATTTATCCAAAAGACAGTCTTTTACTTATCCTAAGTGATTAAATATTTTCCCCTAAAAACTTCCTCAAAGTATTTCCCCTCCTTGAAGAACTGTAGCCATATGAATGACATTCTTCCTTCCCTAAGCTTTAGGGCAGAATCCTATGAAAACCAGGATTGTGGCAAGTCAGGATAGTAATTTTTAAAGGCGGTGTTAAGACTGCTATTAGAGAACATAAAAGGCAAACCACAACGTAGTACATGTCAATATTTAAAGGTGACTGTGCATACACAGTTTTTTTTCACATATCACTGGAAATAAAAAGACCGTAAAGCACCATTTATTGAAACTTCAAAGGTTTGAATTGATCTTAAAGGTCTGCAAAACTGGATTAAAATCACTGAAAGAATAGTTTTTGGGATATCCTGAAAAAGTAGAAGAGTTGAAGATGGAGAGAAAATTATCTTCAACTGCTTGGATCCCACTAGTTTCGTCTGAGTTGGTTATTTTATCTGGTATCATTTACCAAGGCCTTACTGTGAACGTACTTGCAAGTCTTTGGATTTGGCTGCAAACTGCCATATGAATAGGTCTGGCAGGAAATCAGTGTTTAAGACTAAAATAATGCACCAATTATGTCTTCAGACAGGAAACATTTCCTGTAGTCCTGGGTTAATCATAAAACTGTAGAACAAGAATACTTGGAGAAAAAGAAGGGCGTGGTCAACCTGCAATGTTGACCTACAACACAATGTATGTATTTCCCATGCACTAACAGCTATTATACTCATGTAAGCAAGAAAGAGCAAATTTGTGTCCAGATGACAAAATACTTAAGTTTTCTGAAACAGAACCATTAAGCTCTAAAGTCTCTTTTGTCTGAAAAAATATCATGTTTCTTGAATTAAACTTTTCCAAATTTGCTTAATTAAGAGCAGGTCACAGAGAGAGCAACATAACCCCTTAGAACATCACCCATGCTAGCAGCACACTCCAGGACAGAAAAGAAGAAATGAACTAAAGCAGGAAGGGAGGAGAGCCCTGTTGGGACAGAATGTTGCAGGAGACACAGACCACCCTTGGTGATGAGCACAAACACTTGGAGAAGGTTTTTGGTTTTGAAAGATATCACAAAGGTACATGAATGAAACATAGCCCTGTAAGATAATGACCAAAAGCGCAAACCCCTAAACTAACTTGTTCTTGAGACTAAAAGTGAATTTTACAGACCGCTTTCTCTTTATAAGCTGTGACCAAGTCAGATATGACTTCCAGGAAAATAGGTATAATGTATCATAGAAGAGATTAATCACAGAGTTGTTATAATCAGGATGGGTTCAGTTAAGATCATATGTTACCGTGAGGAAAAGGGAAGCATGGAGTAAGTGGTGCCTGCTGCTAGAGGAGTGGCTACACATGATTGGAAGACTACGAAAAGCAGAGCTACCGGCATCCAAGACTAAAAAATGCAACTTCCCCTGTTGATACATCTGCAGGTTTGGACAATGCACTTCAATTTTCTGCAGTTTATACTTTCTTCTTCACCTCATACATGAACAAGACAGTGACAAACCAGATGTAACGCAAAATAATGGAAAAAAATATATGCCACAAAGAGAAGGATGAATGCATATGATAGCGAGCCTCCAGAAACAGGAAGGAAAGAAGAGAAAAATAAATAGCTAGAGAGACCCAAAAATCACTCGAAACCTACTGAACTGGTTGCATTTTTGAGGACAGAATACTAAAAGGTATGGTCCGGAATAAAGCAAAGAGTAGAACATTAGTGAACTCAACCTTTACTGGTTTCCTCCATCAATGCTCTCCTGTATGGAGATGATAATACTGAGATATCATCTGAAGTAACAAAGCAAGACATTCAATGTTACCTGTATTTAATTACTAAATGTGGTTTAGTACTAGAGCTTATTATATAATGTCAACATACCAAATGTGGAGGCTCATTCGTTCCAAGTGGTTCCTGCAAGAATAAATATATATACATGCATATAAATAAATTTAATTACAATTAATTTCCTAGAAGACATGTCAAGTTCCTGAAATTTGTTAATTATGAACTCAAGAGCAGAGAAAAACAAACTTCCCATGCCCTTGGCACAATTCTTTTCCCCAGCCTCTGCCTTCAGCTGCCTGTAAGGTCACAACTACCTGCCTGACTGTTCAGTCACTTTCCACACAGAGAACTTGCATCAGCATTAACTAGTTCATATAATGTGGATTAGAGCCCATGTAAATGTCCCTGTATTTATTTTTGAGTCTATTTCTTGAAGAAAAAAAAAACAAGCAACATTAAAAACCACAGAACACTGGGACACCTCTTTCAACATGTGCTCTTCAAAATAAGGTTAAATGTTCCTTTCTCATTTTCAGTGCAGTAGTATCAGTTATTACATACTCATCACTGAGGATTGTCTTTGTTTTGCATTAGGGTTTTGACAGTTCTGGCACTAATCTATTTGGGTAAGTTGCACTACCTTGGATTTAATAATGGGTTAAGAATATTTCCTGTCTTTATTCACTATATGTCTTACAAATATTTTAGTATAAAAATAGCGGAGAAAAAAAATCAGACCTCTACTATACAACAACATTACGGGCCAGATAAAATCTCAAGTATTTTTATATTCGTTATCAATTAGACATGAATTACTACGTTTTGAGGCAAATTAATCTTTCCAGGACAGGTTATTCTTTCCACGAATGCAGTCTGCCAAAGGGAAGCTCTTCTTATGAAGTTTCCCTGACAACTTTCTCAACAGACAGAAAGATCCAGCGTGTCCATTTCATTCTCCATCCTGAAGAGACTCGTTATATGTCATCCACAAGGGTCTTTAACTTGTTTCTAAGTAAATAGACAAACTGATTAAACAGCATAGCTCACATGATAACATTATTGTACACTCTGATCTCCAAAGGTGTCATTTCTTTTATGTTTTCCACTTAACAAGTTCTGGTAACTCACCAACTTAATAGGTCGAATCGACATGATGATTTTACTAGATCCTCCCCAGTCGAAGAAACATTTATATTTTCCTTTCTCCAATACATATTGTTCTCCACAGAAATATTTCTGCTGATATGCGACCCACCTGCAGAATGACAGAAAAATTAAACTGAAAACATCAATTTTTTCTGTGTAGTTTGATGAACATACTGACGAGTTAAATAGAACAATTTTCTTTGGAGTTTTCTTGATAAGTCCACCTGACAGACAGTGTAATATCAAACCTAATGAGAGGCGCAAAATTGTCAGACACTTGATTTTCTGCTTTTACATTGCAAACACTACAACTTTGGGTCTCTTTTTCTAGCAAATACACATTCAGCATGAGATGATGCCTTGCTTAAAAGCCCAGAGGAAAGACACTTAACTGGCAAGTTTTTGAATCTCTCTCAACCTTTACCTGTTCAGATCCCCCCAGACAGGGCTTTCTTCCAACTTTTCCAGTTGGATTTAAGAAAAATGGTGCAAAAAAGAGAAGCAAATGAGAAAGCCTTGATGGGACGAAATAAAGCAGAAGCTTGCAATGGTTGGCAATTCAAGCTTCTCCCACCCTACTTTCCCTGTTGTGATTTAAGAAAGAAAGAAATCCCCACCTACGTGAGACCAAGGGTGCCTCTAGCCCTGCACACGCGCTCTTTGGCAGTGGCAGAAGTAGATGGAGGCTAGTTAGAAATGACGTTAACCTGGCCACTTTTGGTGGTGCATTCCTCTCTCAGTCACTGTTATATTAGGGATACTAGAGGGTATCTCCTTTCCTTGTCCTTTTAGCACCTGTTTATGAATCTGTTTGTCATTAATTTGTCTAATGCTTTTTAAAACCTCCTGGTGCTATCTGCTACCACAGCCTACTTCAGTAGCAAGTTCCAGAAATTCACTGCCTCTGGTGCAAGAAAGGCTTTTTGCTCCCCACCTCCACATCTGTTTTAAAGCAATCTTCAGCTAGTTCTGTAAAGCATCCCTCAATTGTTGTGATGCAGCATTCTGTAAATGCTGCTGCACTAAGCTTGTCTTCGGGATTTTGTAGATCTCATATCCCTCCTCAGCCATCTCTTCTTCAAACTGAGTCCCAGCCTTTCATCCTTGTATCTTATCATCATGAGACACTGATATCCAGTCTCTGTGGGAGCAGTTCAAATCCTCCACTATTGCTACCTGTCCTAAGTTTAAGGCTTTTTTAGTCTCACTTAACAGTTGCTGATACCTATCACCATCACCATTAGGATAGGCATGATAATGTTAATATTGCACTTTTAAAATTACAGTTAAAGTCTGGAATTTCCACCCACATGATTCCATATTGCTCTTTTCCCATAATGTATTTTATGTTTCAGCACTTGATAGCGCTCTTCATGTACGATACCATTCCCGTGTCTCTGTCATTCCTATAAAGTCGGTAGCTCCTCTCCTTATCCTTCCTGAGAATCTCTGCGGTATCTGCTGTATCACAGCTGTCATTTCATGCTAAGCATTCCAGTTCCCCCATACTATTTTTTAGTGTTCTAGCATTTGTAAGTTTTGTCAGTGCTCCATCAGTTAATACTGCTTATCTTTGTCAACAGACATGACAGGTAATCTAATTTACCTTCCTTATTTATTGTAATTGTGCTGTCTATTTTCCTCCTGGACTTCACATACACACATCTAAAGTTAGCCAAGTCCACTCTGTAGGCCGTATCAGTTTCAACCAGGTACTCTTCCACACCTGTTGGTTTAACCCCTTGCTTTTAGTTTAGATAGTTCTCTAAAAAGTATTTTCATTTTCAGTGCCAACAGCCTGACTTCATTATAAAGCACAGCTCATCCTTTCTGTACAGGCTCCACCTGTCCCAAAAGGCATACCAGTTCTTAACATACCTAAAATCCCTCTTCTGTATTACTGCCAAAGCTTCTGTATCATGAAACTACAGTCTGTGTGACCTTTGGAAGGACATCCC